GCATGTGACATGTGTTTCCTGGATACAGCACATTGATTGGTTTTGACTTTTGTCCAATTTGCCAGTCTGTGTCTTTTGATTGGGGCATTTAGCCATTTACATTTAAGGTTAATATTGTTACATTTGAATTTGATCCTGCCATTTTGATGCTAGCTGGTTATTTTGTCCATTAGTTGATGGAGTTTCTTCATTGTGTCGATGCTTCTTACCATTTGGTATGTTTTTGGAGTGGCTGGTACTGGTTGTTCCTTTATATGTTTAGTGCTTCTTTCAGGAGCTCTTGTAAAGCGTGCCTGGTGGTGATTAAATCTCTGAGCAATTGCTTGTTCATAAAGCATTTTCTTTCTCCTTTGCTTATGAAGCTTAGTTTGGCTGATGTGAAATTCTAGGTTGAATGTTCTTTTCTTTAAGGATGTTTCTTTAAGCCCCCCACTCTCTTCTGGCTTGTGGGATTTCTGTGGAGAGATCTTCTGTGAGTCTAATGGGCTTCCCTTTGTGTGTAACCCAACGTTTCTCTCTGGCTGCGCTTAGCATTTTTTTCCTTCATTTCAACCCTGGTGAATCTGATGATTATGTGCCTTGGGGTTGCTCTTCTTGAGGAATATCTTTGTGGTGTTCTCTGTATTTCTTGGACTTGAATGTTGGCCTGCCTTGCTAGGTTGGGGAAGTTCTCCTGGATAATATCCTGAAGAGTGTTTTCCAGCTTGGATTCATTCTCTCCATGATATTCAGGTACACCTATCAAGCGTAGATTAGGTCTTTTCACATAATCCCATATTTCTTGGAGACTTCGTTCATTTCTTTGTACCCTTTTTTCTCTAATCTTTCCTTCTTCTTTTATTTCATTGAGTTGGTCTTCAGTCTCTGATATTTCTTCCACTTGGTTGATTCGACTATTGAAACTTGTGTATGCTTCACGAAGTTCTCGTGCAGTGTTTTTCAGCTCCATCAAGTTTATATTCTTCTCTAAGCTGTTTATTCTCATTAGCATTTCTTCAAACCTTTTTTCAAGGTTCTTAGTTTCTTTGCTTTTGGTTAGAACATGACTTTTTAGCTCAGAGATATTTGTTATTACCCACCTTCTGAAGCCTATTTCTGTCAATTCATCAGACTCATTCTCGATCCAGCCTTGTTCCCTTGGTGGTGAGAAGTTTCAGTCTCTTGGAGGAGGCAAGACATTCTTGTTTGGGGTATTTTCATCCTTTTTTTGGCTGCTCTCTTCCCATCTTTGTGCATTTATATACCTGTGGTCTTTGTGATTGGTGACTTTCAGATGGGGTCTCTGAGTGTATGTCCTTTTTGTTGCTGATGAAGCTGTTTCTTTCTGTTTCTTAGTTTTCCTTCTAACAGTCAGGCTCCCCTGCTGTAGGACTGTTGGAGGTCCACTCCAGACCCTGCTTGCCTGGGGATCTCCTGCAGTGGCCTCAGAACAGTGAGGGTTGCTGTTAGTTTATTCTTCTTTTATCTTTGTCTTAGAAGGACACCCACCAGATATCAGCCTGAGGTGTCTCTTTGGTTATATGGGGGTCAGAAGCTGCTTGAGGAGACCATCTGTCCCTTATAGGAGCTCAAGTGCTGAGCTGTGAGCTCTGTTGTTCTGTTCAGAGTTGCTGGGCAGGTACATTTAAGTCTGCTGCAGTGGATTTCATAACCACCTTTTTTTCCCAAGTGCTCTATCCCGGGAAGGTGGGGCTTATATATTTATAAGTTCTTGACATTCTGCTGCCTTTTTTCTGAGATGCCCTCCCCAGCGAGGAGGTAGCCTCATCACAGTCTGCCAGTAGCGGTGTTGCTGAGCTGCCATTGCTCTGCTCAGCTGCTGTGTGAACTTCCTTGCAGTTTTTTTATAGGGGTATAGTTAGAACTGCCTCGTTAATGGTGATCTGCCTCGTTAATAACAGACTGTCTCTGTAATGGCGGAGTGCCTTGGTAATGGAGGATTTTCTCGGTAATGGCAGACTGCCTCAGTAGTGGCGGACTGCCCCAGCAGTGGTGGACTGCCTCAGTAATGGCAGATGCCCTTCCCCCCACAGAGCTGCACCATCCCCAGTCCAGCTGTGCTTGCTGTGAAGTAGTCAATCCAGACCGTTTCAGATTGCTAGTCTTTGTGAGTATGGGACCAGCTGAGCCAGATCTACTGGCTCCCTGTTTCAGCCCCCTTTTTTTTTTCAGTTGAACTGGTGACTCTGTCTCTCAGGCCTTCCACTTGCCAGTTGAAATAGCACCCAGATTTGTATGAGTTTTTGTGTGGAAACCCACTGCACCAGCTGAAAAAACTGCGCTAGAGATTTGTGGCGCTTTTCTGCCCAGGAATCTCCAGGTCTGTCAGCATTAAACATTCATTTGGAAATGCGATGATCACTCACCCTCTGCATTTTCACTGGGAACTGCAATCGAGAGCTGTTCCTATTTGGCCTTCTCCTACTTACATCTTTTTAATGAGATTTATTATATGGCCTAAAATATTGTCTATTTTGGTGTTCCATAGGTGCTTGAAAAGCATGGTGTTAAGTCTGCTCTATTATTCCTGATTTTCTGTCTCCTTGTTCTATCACTTCTTGAGTAAAAGGTATTGAAACCTCAGGTTACTTAGAAATTGGCTATTTCTTTTTGTAGTTCTATCCACTTTGGCCTCCTGCATTTTGAATTTCTTATGACATTAGGGGCATAAACATTTAGGATTATTATGTCTTCTTGATTAAATGAAACTTTTATCATTGTGACATGACCTTATTTATTGCTGGAAATGTTTTTGCTATGAAATCGACTTTGATATTAATACAATCATTTCTTCTCAGTAGTCTTCTGACAAGTGTTAGCATGTATTATTTTCTATTCTTATAGCCAATTTATGTCTTTACAATTAAAGTGCATTTCGTATAGACAGCATGTAATTAGATATTGCTTTCTTACCGAGTCCGTCACTCTGCTTTTTAATTGAGGCTTGTAAACCAGTTTCCTTTATATTGTGATTATCAATATAGTTACGTTTTTCTGTCATTATGCTGTTCGATTGCTGTTAGTCTCGCTGTTATTTTTTCCTCTTTTCTTCTTTTTCTGCTTTCCTTTAGATTAGTCAGCTATTTTCTATGATTTAATTTCGCATTTTTTTTTGGTTTATTATATAAAACTCTTTGTTTGCTATCTTAGTGGCTTGTTTCGGATTTATAATTTTAACCTATCACAGTTGCCTTCAAGTAATGTTATACCACATCATAGATGGCATAAGAAAATGACAATGGTACCCTTTTATTTTTTTTCCCAGACAGTTCCTTCCTGGATCTGTGGGATTATGGATTTTGCCAAGTTTAGAATGTTTTTGGTTATTTTTTTTTTTAATTTTCTTTTCTGTCTTTCTTCCTATTTGGGGACTTATACATTAGTTGCTTGAAGGTTTGTCATAGTTCATCATGTCAAATTTATGATTGTGATGTTTAATCTGTGTTTATTTTCATCCTCTGTAGTTTTTACCTCTGACATTGCAATTGGCATTTCTGCAAGTATGGTTTGATTTTTAAAGAAATATCTTACATGCTTCCACTTATTGTCTCAAGCTTTTTTGGGGGTACAGTCATTTACTTATAAACAGAATTCTTTTTGTTCTTGCTTTTAGATTTTGGGTAATTTGCCACTCCTGAGGCAAGAGTTTTCTGATTATTGTCCTGTGAAATATGAGTTTTTTGGGCCTGGCTCCTGGGAATGGACCCTCTCCTGGGCACTTCGAGAACAGCAGACATTGTTTCTCCTGTTTTCCCCTCTGCCTTGGTCTTAGGAAGTTTCCTAGCACACATGCATTTTTTTCATTATTCTATTAAATACTTTAGACCTCTTCAGATGTCCAGGGTTTGTTTCCTCTGCTGCTTTCCCCCCTCAAGTGTTCTGTCCTGTGATTTATCTCTGCTTTCATTTTACCAGACTCTTAGCATCACCGCCCCAGCTCAGGGAATCTGTGTCAGATTTTCTCCCTTTGTCATGGCCTGGGAGCTCAGTACACACAAAAAGCTGGGACTTTTGTAAGGCCTACATTTGTTTCTTGTCTTTCAGTGATTACCATCCTCATTACCAAAGTCCATTGTGTTGAAAGTCATTGTTTCATGTATTTTGCCTGGTTGTTTTCGGCTTCAGGTAAGAAAGAAAATCAGCACCTGTTGCTGCCTCTTGGCTGGAAGCAGATTGCAGCAGAGCTCCAGAACATGCATCAGACTAGCCAGAGTGCTCTGCTTCCTCCTTTGCTCAACTGCTTCCTTCTCATTATTCATTTCTCAGTGTAGCCTTCTCTTCCTCAGGGAAATCTTCCCTTGGCCAATTGTAGGTCAAATTCTCTTATGTGATTATAAAACTATGTATTCTTAAAGCAGCTATCTGAATTTATATTTTCAACTTTATCTTTGTTCTTCACTACGCTTTAAGCTAAACAAGGTCGGACATGTTGTCTGTTTTATCTGAAGATCTTTCTATAATATTTTCCACATTGCAGGCAGTCAATATATAAATACTCATTCAGTGTATGAATGAGTGCCATGTTGATATCAACAGTCCTTTATATCTAAAACCCTACTCATGTATTTTATCTCTATTTTGTTTTCCCTTGGTTACAGATTTTGTTAGCCTATTGAAAATCAAGAATGCAATATCTGCACATGAAAGACTAATAGAACATAAAATACATTACTGTGAACAACTTACAGTGAAATTTAAAAAAATGAAAAACAAGATTAGTACACTACAAAAGGAACTATCTGAGACAGACAAAACCAAAGTACAGTTAGAGCATCAGAAACTTGAATGGAAACAAGAGCTCCATAGTTTAAGGTAAAACATTCTAGTTTTAAAGAAATATTTGAACTGTTTATACTAAAGAGATGTAGGATAATTTTTGTAATAGTTGACTTACCTTCTAGGGTTTAATAGAGAAGAAAACTTCTTAAAATTGTGGAATGTGAAATTCTTGGATATAATATGACAAGCTTTTAATTGTTAATACTTCTTTAATGTTTAATTGCATATTCCTTTAAATCATTGTTTAAATGATTATATAGATTTCTACTCTATGGAAATCTCATTATTTAATAAATTGAAATTGGGGGTCTTAATTTATTGTATTAATGCTGTAAGGAACATGCTACATATCCATAATTTTCTCCATTTCTATTTACTTACTTTGGAAAAATGTTTTAAAATAGAGCTATCTGGTTAGACTATAGGAGCTTTTATTTTTTCTTTATTGCATTTTAGGTTTTGGGATACATGTCAAGAACATGGAAGATTGTTGCATAGGTACACACATGGCACTGTAATTTGCTGCCTTCTTCCCCTTCACCTACATGTGACATTTTCCCCCATGTTATCTCGCCCCAACTCCCCACTCCCCGCTGTCACTCCCCTATTTCCCCCAAACAGACCCCAGTGTGTAGTGCTCCCCTCCCTGTGTCCATGTGTTCTCATTGTTCAACACCCACCTATGAGTCAGAACATGCGGTGTTTGATATTCTGCTCTTCTGTGAGTTTGCTGAGAATGATGGTTTCCAGGTTCATCCATGTCCCTACAAAGGACACAAACTCATCATCTTTGATGGCTGCATAGTATTCCACATATACATATGGTGTATATGTGCCATATTTTCCCTGTTCAATCTATCATCGATGGGCATTTGGGTTGGTTTCAGGTCTTTGCTATTGTAAACAGTGCTGCAATGAACATTCGTGTGCATGTGTCCTTAGAGTAGAACAATTTATAATCCTTTGGATATATACCCAGTAGTAGGATTGCTGGGTCAAATGGAATTTCTATTTCTAGATCCTTAAGGAATTGCCACACTGTCTTCCACAATGGTTGAACTAATTTACACTCCCACCAACAGTGTAAAAGTGTTCCTATTTCTCCACATCCTCTCCAGCATCTGTTGTCTCCAGATTTTTTAATGATCTAACTGGCGTGAGATGGCATCTCAATGTAGTTTTGATTCGCATTTCTCTGATGACCAATGATGATGAGCATTTTTTCATGTGTTTGTTGGCCTCATGTATGTCTTCTTTTATAAAGTATCTGTTCATATCCTTTGCCCACTTTTGAATGGGATTGTTTGTGTTTTTCTTGTAAACCTGTTTTAGTTCTTTGTAAATTCTGGATATCAGCCCTTTGTCAGATGGGTAAACTGCAAAAATTTTTTCCCATTCTGTTGGTTGCCGATTCACTCTAATGACCATTTCTTTTGCCGTGCAGAAGCTGTGGAGTTTGATTAGGTCCCATTTGTCTATTTTGACTTTTGTTGCCAATGCTTTTGGGGTTTTGGTCATGAAGTCCTTGCCTACGCCTATGTCCTGAATGGTTTTGCCTAGATTTTCTTCTAGGCTTTTTATGATGTTAGGTCTTATGTTTAAGGCTTTAATCCATCTGGAGTTACTTTTAATATAAGGTGTCAGGAAGGGGTCCAGTTTCTGCTTTCTGCACATGACTAGCCAGTTTTCCCAACACCATTTATTAAACAGGGAATCCTTTCCCCATTGCTTGTTTTTGTCAGGTTTGTTAAAGATGAGATGGTTGTAGATATGTTGTGATGCCTCTGAGGCCTCTGTTCTGTTTCATTGGCTTATATCTCTATTTTGGAACCAGTACCGTGCTGTTTTGATTACTGTAGAATTGTAGTATAGTTTGAAGTCCGGTAGTGTGATACCTCCATCTTTGTTCTGTTCGCTTAGAATTGACTTGGCTATGCATGCTATCTTTTGGTTCCATATGAAATTTAAGGTGTTTTTTTCCAGTTCTGTGAAGAGGGTCATTGGTAGCTTGATGGGGATACTGTTGAATCTGTAAATTACTTTGGACAGTATGGCCATTTTCACGATATTGATTCTTCCTAACCATGAAAATGGAATGTTTCTCTGCCTGTTTGTGTCCTGTCTTATTTCGTTGAGCAGTGGCTTGTAGTTCTCCTTGAAGAGGCCCTTTACGTATTTGTTACTTGTATTCCTAGGTATTTTATTCTCTTTCTCGCAATTGTGAATGGCATTTTGTGCTTCATTTGGCTCTCTTTAAGTCTGTTATTGGTGTATAGGAATGCTTGTGATTTTTACACATTGATTTTGTATCTTGAGACTTTGCTGAAGTTGCTTATCAGTTTCAGGAGATTTGGACTGAGACGATGGGGTCTTCTAGATACACAATCATATTGTCTGCAAATACAGACAATTTAACTTCTTCCTTTCCTATTTGACTACACTTTATTTCTTTTTCTTGCCTGATTGCTCTGGTTAGAAATTCCAGTACTGTATTGAATAGGAGTGGTGAGAGAGGGCATCCTTGTCTAGTGCCAGATTTCAAAGGGAATGCTCCCAGTTTTTGCCCATTCAGTATAATATTGGCTGTTGGTTTGTCATAAATAGCTTTCATTATTTTAAGATACGTTTGGTCAATACCTAGTTTATTGAGGTTTTTTAGCATAAAGTGCTGTTGAATTTTGTCAAAGGCCTTCTCTGCATCAATTGAGATAATCGTGGTTTTTGTCTTTGGTTCTATTTATGAGGTGAATTTTGTTTATACACTTGTGTATGTTGAACCAGTCTTGCATTCCCGGGATGAAGGCTACTTGATCATGGTGGATAAGCTTTTTGATGTGCTGTTACAATTGGCTTGCAAGTATTTTATTGAAGACTTTTGTGTCTATGTTCATCATGGATATTGCCCTGAAGTTTTCTTTTCTTGTTGATTCTCTGCCGGGTTTTGGTATCAGGATGATGTTGCTCTCATAAAATGATTTCGGAAGGATTCCCTCTTTTTGGATTATTTGGAATAGTTTAAGAAGGAATGGCACCAGCTCCTCTTTTTATGTCTGGCAGAATTCGGCTGTGAACCCATCTGGACCTGGGATTTTTTTGAGTGGTTGGCTCTTAATTGCTGCCTCAACTCTAGCCCTTGTTATGGGTCTGTTTAGGGCTTTGGCTTCTTGCTGGTTTAGAGTTGGGAGGAGGCAAGTGTGCAGGAATTTATCCATTTCTTCCAGGTTTCTTTTTATCCAATTTGCCAGTCTGTGTCTTTTGATTGGGGCATGTAGTCCATTTACATTTAGGGTTAATATTGTTGTGTGTGAATTTGATACTGCCGTTTTGGTGCTAGCTGGCTGTTTTGCCCATTAGTTGATGCAGACTCTTCATTGTGTTGACACTCTTTACCATTTGGTATGCTTTTGGAGTGGCTGGTACTGGTTGTTCCTTTCTATTTGTAGAGCCTCTTTCAGGAGCTCTTGTAAAGCAGGCCTGGTGGTGATGAAACCTCTGAGTACTTGCTTGTTCACTAAGGATTTTATTTTTCCTTCAGTTATGAAGCTTAGTTTGGCTGGATATGATATTCTGGGTTGAAAGTTCTTTTCTTTAAGGATGTTGAATATTTGTCCCCACTCTATTCTGGCTTGTAGAGTTTCTGCTGAGAGATCTGCTGTGAGTCTGATGGGCTTCCCTTTGTGGGTAACCTGACCTTTCTCTCTGGCTGTCCTTAGCATTTTCTTCTTCCTTTCAACCCTGTGAATCTTAAAATTATGTGCCTTGGGGTTGCTCTTCGTGAGGAATATCTTTGTGTTGTTCTCTGTATTTCCTGGACTTCAATATTGGCCTGCCTTGCTGGGTTGGGGAAGTCTTCCTTGATAATATCCTGAAGAGTATTTTCCAGCTTGAATTCATTCTCTTTGTCACATTCAAGTACACCTATCTAACGTAGATTAGGTTTTTCACATAGTCCCGCATTTCTTGGAGACTGTTCATTCCTTTTTACCCTTTTCTCTCTAATCATGCCTTCTCATTTTATTTCATTGAGTTGATCTTCGACCTGTGATATCCTTTCTTCTCCTGGGTCAATTTAGCTTTTGAAAGTTGTGCATGCTTCATGAAGTTCTCGTGTTGTGTTTTTCAGCTCCATCAATTCACTTGTATTCCTTTCTAAGTTGTCCATTCTTGTTAGCATTTTGTCAAATCTTTTTTCAAGGTTCTTATTTTCTTTGCATTTGGTTAGAACATGTTCTTTTAGTTCAGAGAAGTTTCTTACTACCCACCTTCTGAAGCCCGATTCTGTCATTTCATCACACTCATTCTCCATACAACCTTGTTCCCTTGCTGGTGTGGAGTTGTGATCCCTTGTAGGAGGAGAGGTGCTCTGGTTTCGGGTGTTTTCATCCTTTTTGCACTGGTTTCTTCCCATCTTTATGGATTTATCCACCTGTCGTCTTTGTAATTGCTGACTTTCAGATTGGGACTCCGAGTGGACATTCTGTTTGTTGATGATGAAGCTATTTCTGTATCTTAGTTTTCTTTCTAACAGTCTGGCCCCTCTGCTGTAGGACTACTGAGGTCCACTCCAGGCCCTTCTTCTCTTGGGATCACCTGCAGCAGCTGCAGAACAGTAAGGGTTGCTACCAGTTTCTTCTTCTGCTATTTTGTCCCAGAAGGATACCCGCCAAATGTCAGTGTGATCTCTCCTTTATGAGGTGACTCTTTGGATATACAGGTGTCAGGGAGCTGCTTGAAGAGACAGTCTGTTCTTTATAGGAGCTCAAATGCTGAGCTTGAGCTCTGTTGTTCATTCAGAGCTGCTGGGCAAGTACGTTTAGGTCTGCTGCAGCAGAACTCATAAACTACTTTTTGTTCCCAGATGCTCTGTCCCAGGGAGTTAGGGCTTTATTTATGAGTTTCCGTTGTGCTGTTGCCTTTTTTTTTTTTTTATCAGGGCTGCTCTGCCCAGCAAGGAGGCAGCCTTATCACTGTCTGCCTACAGAGGCTTTGCTGAGCTGCTGTGGGCTCCGCCCAGTTGCCGTGTGATTTTCCCTGCAGTCCTGTTTATATGGGTGTAGTTAGACCTGCCTCGGCAATGGTGGCCCACCTCTGTATTGGCAGACTCTCTCTGTAATGGCAGGTTGCCTTGGCAATGGCAGGCTGCCTCAGCAATAGCAGACTACCTCCTTAGTGTTGTATAGCCTCGGTAATGGTGGAAGCCCCTCCCCCATAGAGCTGGACCGTCCTGGGTTCAGCTGTGCTTGCTGTGAAACTCTCAATCCAGAAAGTTTCTGATTGCTGTTCTTTTGTGTGGGTGGGGCCAGCCAATCCTAATCACTTGGCTCCCTGCCTCTGAACCTTTCGACTCTATCCCAGGTGTTCCAGTCACCTGTTGAAAAGGCGACGGGATCTGTGTGTTTTCCCATGCGGTGACTCACTGCGCTGGCTTAAACAGCAGTGCTGGGATTTGTGGCACTTGTTTTTGCCCAGAAATCTCCTGGCCTTGCTCCCTCTTCAGACCCCTCTTTATTCAGATGAATGGATGACTTCCCAGGGCTACAATCATCTGCCAAAAGGGCCCCCAAACCAATGTGTTTTGTACGGAGAACGGCTGGCTGGGACAAAGCAGCCGTGCCGACCAAAAGAACCCCGCCAGCCAAAACCGTCACACTGGTGACCCATGGGGCTCCTCTGCCTGGGAATCTTCTGGTCCATAGGCAATAAAAATGTGGCATCCACTCACCCTCTGTGCTTTCACTGGGAGCTGCAACTCCAAGCTGTTCCTAAATGGCCATCTTGGGTGGGGATATTATAGTAGCTTTTAAAAAAGATTTTTGATGAATATTTCTAAGTTGTTCTTAAGAAAGTTTATATTAATTTATAATTCAACAGAGTATGACATATATATTTTTCTCCACCCAGAGTAATTAGTTTTAAAATTATTCAGTTTTATTTATTTTTTTTTTTTTGAGACAGAGTTTTGCTCTGCCACCCAGGTTGCAGTGTAGTGGTGGAATCTCGGCTCACTGCAACCTCTGCTCCTGTGTTCAAGTGATTCTTGTGCCTCACCCTTCCAAGTAGTTGGGATTACAGGCATGCATCACCATGCCTGGCTAATTTTTTTTTTTTTAAGCAGAGACAGGGTTCTGCTTTGTTGGCCAGATTGGTCTCAAACTCCTGACTGCAAGTTATCCACTGGCCTTTGCCAGACTGGTCTCAAACTGCTGACTGCAAATTATCCACTTATTACAGCATAAGCAACCATGCCTGGCCTAGTTTTACTTTTAGTATGCAGCGAATTAAAAGTAAAATGGAAAGTGATAACTGATTAGCTTAGTCAACATCTGTCTCTGCTACAGAGATTAAATTAATTCAAGGTTCTATGCTAAAGGCACATATTACTCTTTACTGTTTAAATATTACATTTTTTCTTGTTTGAGAATGGATTTTAACATTGTTTGTAAAATACATAATAATCAATAGGATAAGTTAAAAGTGTTATTTAAAAAAGATACATAAAAAGTATAGGGTAACATCTTAGATTCCTTAGCCTAGGCTTGGATGATAGTCATCTGCAGATAAGTGTTGCAAAAAGACACCTAAATGTGCTATCTTACAGTGTAAATCATGTTTAGGGATACCTGCAATATTTCATGAATATGAAAATTGATTTCTACTGAAGGCATCAACTTATTTATAAAAAAAATAACTTCTTTTTAATTAACTAACTCTAAATGATTCATCCTGACTGAGGAGTAATTATTAATGTGTGAAGAAAAGGTAATTTTTAACTTGCAAATTTACCTAATAATTTTCAGTGTCCTTTTCAATAATATTTACTAGAGTTATTAGTAACAGAAGCTAATTAATTAGCAGAATGTTTATTTCTTACTACTTTTCAATTTATATATGTCCTTTGGAAGACATTGAAGTGAGAAATTAACATGAAAACTACAAAGAAAAAATATTCAAGAACATGGGCACTTTATTAGGAAAATAAATCAGCATATGAGTGCTTTGTTTTTAAAGGATTTTAAGATAAGTATATTTAACTACAGATTAATCTTACAACAAGAAGAAGAAAGAAGAAACCCTGAAAAGTATGAAAAAGGTACAGAAAATTTCAAAATAATGGAAGAGCAATATTGGACACAAGCTGAAGTGAAAAAACAACTTAAACTGACTCTCAAATCATTGGAAATGGAGTTGAAGACTGTAAGAAATTATTTAAATCAGGTACATTAACATTTGGTAAAATTTTATATTTCTAATTTTACTTTGTTAATATTATAATATCCCTTTAACTTGATATATATTTTTTAGTTCTAAAACCACAAATTTTATTTCATCTTAAAAATGAATGATACTTATAGCTACAATTATTTATTATAAATCTTGGTGTCAAAGTAGTATTTTATTTCAGTTCAAAGACCTTTGGAAAAAAATTATAGTCCATAATATATACTTAGTGATATTTTATAGATAAGTAATTTGTTCCTAGTGACATAGCTCAATGTAGTTTTTTTCTATTTCACATTAATTATAGTTTCAAACATTGTGAAAATGAAATAAAAGTTATCATATTACATAATCTCATGATGTCCTAAGAAGAGCTTTATAAATGTTATCTTATTTACTTTTGGTGTTTTGAAAGAAAAGGTTTTTATGGTATTTGCATATCTACTCCATGGACATAACCATGATCTGGTGGAGTAGCACTAGGAGTCAGAAGACCTGGGAAAAATCCAGCAGCTTGCTTATGTTTTTAAACTTTCCCTTCAGAGTTGTGATAACTAAATGACTTAATTGATGTATGCATATAAAGTGCTTAGTACAATGCCTAGATTTATCCTTTATCAATACGTGTCATTCTTAAAACTGACTCTAAAAATGTAAGAAAAGTAGAATTATCTATAAAATATTTGCAGGAAAAAGTAACAAGGAATTTGGAAAATTTCATCTGTCCAAATATCTGCAGAGCTAAGGCTCTTACACTATAGGGAAAAGTAAAATTAGATATTAGTGTGTAAACCCAATTTCTAAATGTACTCATAGTTATTAATAATTTATGCTTTTGGGTTTGTTGAAATTCAATTAAAACCTTTTTTTTAAATTAATTGTCTTCAGATACATTTTTGAACTTTTGAGAAATTGTGCTCTAAAATGTTTGAAGTTTTGATTCAATTTCTTTTTTCCAGTTGGATAGCCAGATGGTAATTCTTTCATTGTATAAATGTACGTGTTATTACTTATTTAGTTTCATAAGAAATCATAATGTATCATTTTATTGGGTACTAGTTGAAAGTTTTCTTTGTTTTATTTAGAGTTCTCATACTCATGAAAAAGAAAAAGACCTGTGGCAGAAAAATCACTTGATGAAGGATGAAATTGCCAGACTCAGGCTAGAAATAGACACAATTAAACATCAGAACCAGGAAAATGAAAATACGTATTTCAAGGATAGTGAAATTATAAAGAAAAAGAATGAAGACCTTCAAAAGACTCTAAAGCTGAATGAGGAAACATTAACAAAAACAAACTGGTATAATGAAGAGCTTAATGTTCTGACATTGGATAAGAATACAGTGCTCAATTCTGAGCTAGAGAAGGAAAAACAAAGAAAGCAAAGACTGGAAACAGAAATGGAATTATACAGTTGTAGACTGGCTGCTGCTCTATGTGATCGTGATCAAAGTCAGTCTTCAAAAAGAGACCTGCAGCTTGCTTTCCAGAACACAGTAAATCAGTGGTGTCATTTACAAGAAAACATGAATTCTCATATTCAGATTCTTTCTCAGCAACTTTCTAAAGCTGAGAGTAAATCCAGTAGCCTGGAAACTGAGCTCAATTATGAAAGAGAGGCTCTCAAGGAAAAGACGTTGGCTATAGAACACATGCAAGGAGTCATAAGCCAAACACAGCATCGAGTGAAGGCCATTGAACACATGTACCAAGATGACCAACATATAGTGGAAAAATATGTGAGAAAGCAGCAATCTGTAGAGGATGGACTATTTCAGATACAAAGCCAAAATTCATTGCATCAACAACAACTTAATGATGCTCACAAGAAAGCTGACAATCAGGAAAAAACAATAATTAATATCCAAGCCAAATGTGAAGATACTGTAGAGAAACTTCAAGCTGAGTGTAGAAAGCACTGTATTATGCTGGAAGAGAACAACAAGGGGTTGATAGAGGAATATACTCTTTTAAAAGAAAGGCAGTGCCAGTATGAAAAAGAGAAAGAAGAAGAAGAAGTAAGTATCAAGAAAAATAAGTATTTTTCAAGCTTCCTGAAGTAAAATTTAAAGTAATATTTGGTTATGGCTAAACATTTAATGTAGTTGAATATGAAAATATATACATCATAAATAGATCTGATATATCACCTTAGAAAACGTAGCTTGTTTCCAGCAAATAAAAGTTAGAACTAAGAGATGCTTTCTTTTGAGTAAAGACAATGTGACACTCAGGAAATTTTAAGCATTTCAGTTACAAACTGTTAATATAAACTAATATTTATAATGTAGTCTTACACTGCTGAAATAATTTTAATGTCTGTATGTTGCCACATTTTAGGCTTATGATAAAACATATAAAAAAATGTTCATACCAAAAGTGTTATTTTGAAATTGATTCAATTAATTGGATTACTTCGACCATTAATTCCAGATTTCCCAGATGAAGAAAAGTGTAGTCCCTATTTTAAAATTATTTTTCTTCATTTGCTTTTAATGTAGCTTAGTTGGCATAATTTTATTTATTTATTTATTTATAAATAATATAATATTACTTATAATATCACTCCGTTGCCCAGAATGGAGTGCAATGGCATGATCTTGGTTCACTGAAACCTCTGTCTTCCAGGTTCAAGTGATTCTTCTGCCTCAGCATCCCAAGTAGCTGGGATTATAGGCACCCGCCGCTACGCCCGGCTAATTTTTGTATTTTTAGTAGAGACCGGGTTTCACCATGTTGGTCAGGCCCGTCTTGAACTCCCAACCTCAGGTGATCCCCCCACCTCGGCCTCCCAAAGTGCTGGGATTACAGGCATGAGCCACCGTGCCCGGCCAATTTTATTTTTATTCATGTCAATTTGACTTAAATCTGAAAATAATTCAATCTTAAATTATACATTGATGTGACCTTTCCATTCTTCAAAGACATCCAATTTTTCTTACATTACAATATGGGGAAAATGTGGTAAATGTTACCAAACTAGATTTGATTTAATCTTCCCACTAGCATTTATAACTTACTTTCAATTTTTTAATGAAAAATGTGGTTATAATTTTTATTTCAAGGCTCAGTGACTCTCATTTGGATATAATGTTGTCCGGTACAAAGATAAGCTTAGCTGTCTGTGATTTATTAGTTTCACATTGGATCCCCATTTTCAGATTAATGAGGGGTGGTAGGAATGGAGGGAGTAGGGAAAAGAGACATAGCAGCTCAGGTAAGGGAGGGAGATAGAAGCTAGTTTACCTAGAACATTGAAGGCCATTGGAATGTTACTTTTTTTCTGAGATGGAAATCTATTGAAAGGATATGAGCAGGTGACTGAATATGTGAGGAACTCTGAGGTTGATTTGAGCTTCTTCTTATAAAAAAGAGAAAAAACATTGCACAGTGTAAAATTCAGTACCTCCAGTCCTACCTGTTTCTTTTTGAGAAGGTTTTTAAGCATTGCATATTCATCCGTGGACTGAATCTGTTGTATGAGTAACACAGCAGCAGTTTGGGATGAAGATAACACCTTCTTTATCCTTAACTGGATTCATTAATAAACAGGAATGTATGCACATGAGGAAAAAAAAGAATCTGTGTATGGTGATACTTTTCTAAGTGTATACATTAGAGTTAAATATTATTAACAATTTAATAATAAGGTGATATGTAAAATCCATAACGAAAATAAAATCTTATCAGGTAGTTGTGAGAAAACTCAAACAAGAACTGAGTGATGCCCTGAACAAACAATTACTGTCAGAAGGTATGCTAGAGGCTTCATCACAACATCAAAATACTTTAGAAGATGAGACACGAGATACAAAAAAGAAATTCGAACAGATGAAAAGTCAGGTATGTATGAAACTTAGCATGTTAACAGTTACTCTGTAGCTGGTTAATATCAACTGTTGTGGGTTAGTAGTTTTATTGGACAGCTTTATTTCATATTTTAATTATGATTAATTTTATTATCTTTATAATGCATTCATTTCTCAATCTCTGCTATGTTTTATAATAATAAATATTTTTCTTATAATATTTCCAGTTAAGAAAGTTGAGAATTACACATCATTTCTCATAGATTAGATAATTTTTCTGCTTACAGTATATTTTTAGTGATTTTTATATTGCCATGGGGATACAAGCCAGATTAGTTCAGAGGATAATTTCCAACGGAATGTTTCAGAAATTTTTTCTTTTTTTAATCTCTACTTTTCTGTGTGAATAAAGAACTTGTGCCTACTTATTTCATGGGTTTCAGTTTAACTTGTACAGAAAGGCCATTCTTCATCTTTGTTTTGATGAAAATACTTGCTCTGACTTTATATTGGGCTATAGTCATAGTCACATGATTATGAACAGTTAACATTTGCCAACATGTGTCTGTCTACTTTCTCTAGTTTAAAAACAAACAAACAACAACAAAAAAAAACTTTAAAAATGGAGTTATAGAAGGTCAGCAAAGGGTAGGTTTGAGATGTTTGGATGGGTCAAGTGGGCATTTTGACAACATGGCTTCCCCTTTGGCATGTTTAATGGACATCCCTGCAGTTTAAGATGACACTTGTAAATACTCTCCTAATGGTGATGTGAGACCTGCCACTCAATCAACAGAACCTGTAGGATCTTATTTGACATTCATCTTGTCTATTTTAATTATGCTCCAGTTTATTTTCAAATTTTCTTGTGGTTTGCCTGGAGAGGAAAGATGATGCTTAGTTTTAAATGTTAAAAATGTATAAGTTGCCTTGCTATAACAAAATTAAATGCATACACACAAAAAAAGAAACAAATTTATAGTTGATATAGTAGTGGTGTTTGGAATTCAAAAATATGAATGCTTACCATAAAGTAATTTTCTCTTTCCCCATTTAACCAATTTTATAAATTTGAGTATCTGATAAAATATAAATTAAAAGCAAGAAAAATATTGTATTTTGATCCTACAGCATACTCAGTAAATTTTTCTGTAAAGGACCAGGTAGTATTATTGGAGACTTTGTGAGCCATAAGATCCCTGTTGGAACAACTCAACACTGTAGTTGCAGCACAAATGTAGCCATAAACAATATGCAGATTGCAGGGGTGTGACTGCATTCCAATAAAATTTAGTTAAACAGGTAATAGATTGATTTGTCCTAGATTATTATCATTTTTAATAAAATAGATTTTGATAGTTTAAAAACAGTATTTTATATATACCATATTTTGTTCATTCATTCACCTGTTGATGGGCATTTGATTTCCACACCTAAAGATTGTTTTCAATTCTTTGTTTTAGTTGCAAGAAATCCAGGATCAACTCACAGAGACTCTAAGATATGATGAGGAGATTCCAGACCACGTGCAAAAGTACAATTTAAAGCAGCACACAAAATATCTTGAGTATTTATAAAGCAAATGAGTAGTGTAGTATGAGAATTATATCAGTTAAGATAATAAGTATATCTATGCGAAGCCAAGAAAAAAATTTCAGCTGTAAGCTATTTTGAAATGCATAATTTTTTATATTATTTTTGATTTTACACATCATCAACAAAACAAAGGTAGAAAAATGGCAGTTGCTCAATTTTCTAATTTTCAAATGTCTCAGAATTTATGTAATTACTTCTTCAGATATTTTTCAGAATTTATATGATTTTTTTTAATTATGTTTGTAAATAATTATTTTAAAATATATTTATTTTAGGCTTAAACTAGAAAATGCCATGTTAAAAATTAGAAGGAAAGAGCGAGTGAACAAAATTGAGCAGCTTCAGAAAATTCTGGGGGGATCCAAGATGGCCGTTTAGGAACAGCTCGGAGTTGCAGCTCCCAGTGAAAGCGCGGAGGGTGAGTGGACACCGCATTTTTATTGCCCACAGACTAGGAGATTCCCAGGCGGAGGAGCCCAACCAGTTGCCAGCGTGGCTGTTTCGGCCGGCACAGCTGCTTTGCCCCACACAGCTGCTTTGTCAGTGCCCTGGTGCAGTGGTTCTCTGTACAAAATACACTTGTCCAAGTGCCCTTTGGCTGGCGATTAGAGCCATGGGAAGTCACCCATTCATCTGTTTAAAAAGGGGACTGAACAGGGAGTCAGGACAGGAGATTCCAGGGCAAAAAAGTGCCACGAATCTCAGTGCCACTGTTTAAGCCAGCACAGTGAGTCACCGTATGGGAAAACACACAGATCCCGGTACCTCTTCAACAGGATACTGGAACACCAACTTAAAAGGCTCTGAGGTAGGGAGCCAGGCAATCAGGTTCGGCTGGTCCCACCCCCAAAATAACAGCAATCAGAAACTCTCTGGATTGAGAGCTGCACAGCAAGCGCAGCTGAACCCAGGACCATGGTCTAGCTCTGTGGGGGAGGGGAGTCCACCATTACAGAGGCAATACACCACTAAGGTGATAGTCCGTTATTGCTGAGGCAGCCTGCTGTTACCAAGGCAACCGACCATTGCTGATGCAGCCTGCCATTGCCAAGGCAACCTGCCATTACAGAGAGAGTCTGCCAATACAGAGGTGGGCCACCATTGCCGAGGCAGTTCTAACTACACTCATATAAACAGGACTGCAGGGAAGTTCACATGGCAACTGGGCGGAGCCCACAGCAGCTCAGCAAAGCCTCTGCAGGCAGACAATGATGAGGCTGCCTGCTTGCTGGGCAGGGCAGCCCTGAAGGAAAAAAAAAGAAGGCAGCAGCACAATGGAAACTCATAAATAAAGCCCTAACTCCCTGGGACAGAGCACCTGGGAATAAAAAGTGGTTTATGAGTTCTGCTGCAGCAGACCTAAACGTACCTGCCCAGCAGCTCTGAATGAACACTGGAGCTTACAGCTTAGCATTTGAGCTCCTATAAAGAACAGACTGTCTTCTCAAGCAGCGCCCTGACGCCTGTATATCCAAAGAGTCACCTCATAAAGGAGAGATCAGACTGACACTTGGTGGGTATCCTTCTGGGACAAAGATAGCAGAAGAAGAAAACTGGTAGCAACCCTTACTGTTCTGCAGCTGCTGCAGGTGGTAACTAGGCAAGCAGGGCCTGGAGTGAACCTCAGCAGACCTACAGCAGAGGGGCCAGACTGTTAGAAGAAAAACTAAGAAAGAGAAATGACCTCATCATCAACAAACAGAATGTCCACTCGGAGTCCCAATCTGAAAGTCAGCAATTACAAAGACGACAGGTGGATAAATCCATAAAGATGGGAAGAAACCAGTGCAAAAAGGATGAAAACACCCAAAACCAGAGAACCTCTCCTCCTACAAGGGATCACAACTCCTCACCAGCAAGGGAACAAGGTTGGAGGGAGAACGAGTGTGATGAAATGACAGAATCAGGCTTCAGAAGGTGGGTAGTAAGAAACTTCTCTGAACTAAAAGATCATGTTCTAACCCAATGCAAAGGAACTAAGAACCTTGAAAAAATATTTGACGAAATGATGAGAATGGACAACTTAAAAAGGAATATAAGTGAATTGAAGGAGCTGAAAAACACAACATGAGAACTTCACGAAGCATGCACAAGTTTCAACAGCCTAATTGACCAAGCAAAAGAAAGGATATCAGAGGTCAAAGGTCAACTCAATGAAATAAAACGGGAAGGCGAGACTGAGAAAAAAGGGTAAAAAGGAATGAACAAAGTCTCCAAGAAATGTGGGATTATGGGAAAAGACCTAATCTACGTTAGATAGGAGTACCTGAATGCGACGAAGAGAATGAACCCAAGCTGGAAAATACTCTTCAGGATATTATCCAGGAAAACTTCCCCAACCTAGCAAGGCAGGCCAATATTCAAGTCCAGGAAATACAGAGAACATCACAAAGATATTCCTCACGAAGAGCAACCCCAAGACACATAATCTTCAGATTCATCAGAGTTGAAATAAAGGTAACAATACTAAGGGCAGTCAGAGAGAAAGGTCGGGTTACTCACAAAGGGAAGCCCATCAGACTCACAGCATATCTCTCAGCAGAAACACTACAGGCCAGAATACAGTGGGGGCCAATATTCAACATCCTTAAAGAAAAGAACTTTCAACCCAGTATCTCATATCCAGCCAAACTAAGCTTCATAAGTGAAGGAAAAATAAAATCCTTTGTGAACAAGCAAGTACTCAGAGATTTCATCACCACCAGGCCTGCTTTACAAGAGCTCCTGAAAGAGGCTCTACACATAGAAAGGAACAACCAGTACCAGCCACTCCAAAAACATGCCAAATGGTAGAGAGAATCAACACAATGAAGAATCTGCATCAACTAGTGGGCAAAACAGCCAGCTAGCACCAAAATGGCAGTATCAAATTCACACATAACAATATTAACCCTAAATGTAAATGGACTACATGCCCCAATCAAAAGACACAGACTGGCAAATTGGATAAAAAGACAAAACCCATCAGTGTGCTGTACCCAGGAAACCAATCTCACATGCAAGGATACACAAAGGCTCAAAATAAAGGGATGGAGGAATATTTACCAAACAAATGGAGAGCAAAAAAAAGCAGGCATTGCAATTCTCATCTCTGATAAAATAGACTTTAAAGCAACAAAGATCACAAAGACGAAGGGCATTACATAATGCTAAAAGAATCAATACAAGAATTAGAGCTAATGATCCTAAATATATACGCACCCAATACAGGAGCACCCAGATACATAACACAAGTTCTTAATGACTTACAAAGACACTTAGACTCCCACACAATTATAGTGGAGACTTTAACACCCCATTGTCAATATTAGACTGCTCAACCAGACAGAAAATTAACAAGGATATACAGAACTTGAACTCAGACTTGGACCAAGCAAACCTAATAGACATTAACAGAACTCTCCTCCCCAAATCCATAGAAAAAACATTATTCTCAGCACATCACACCTACTCTAAAATTGACCACATAATTGGAAGTAAATCACTCCTCAGCAAATACAAAAGAACGGAAATCATAACAAACAGCCTCTCAGACCACAGTGAAATCAAGTTAGAATTCAGAATTCAAAAACTAACCCAGAACCGCACAGCTTCATGGAAACTAAACAACTTGCTTTTGAATGTTGACTGGATAAACAATGAAATGAAGGCAGAAATAAAGACGTTCTTCAAAACCAAAGAAAAGAGAATAACCAAATTGATGAAATAAAAAACAATAAAGGGAATATCACCACAGATTCCACAGAAATTCAATCGATCATCAGAGATTATTACAAACACCTCTATGCACATAAACTAGTAAACCTGGAAGAAATGGATAAATTCCTGGACCTTTGCCTCCTCCCAAGCCTAAACCAGGAAGAAGCCTAAACCCTGAACAGACCCTTAACAAGGTCTGAAGTTGAGGCAGCAATTAAGAGCTTACCACCCAAAAAAATCCCAGGTTCAGATGGGTTCACAGCCGAATTCTACCAGACATACAAAGAGGAGCTGGTACATTCCTTCTGAAACTTTTCCAAACAATGCAAAAAGAGGGAATCATTCCCAAATCATTTTATGAGACCAACATCATCCTGATACCAAAACCTGGCAGAGACTCAACAAGAACAGAAAACTGCAGGGCAATATCCATGATGAACATAGACACAAAAGTCTTTAATAAAATACTTGCAAGCCAATTGTAACAGCACATCAAAAAGCTTATACACCATGATTAAGTAGTCTTCATCCCGGGGATGCAAGTCTGGTTCAACATATGCAAGTCTATAAACGTAATTCACCACATAAACAGAACCAAAGACAAAAACCACATGATTTTCTCAATTGATGCAGAGAAGGCCTTTGACAAAATTCAACAGCCCTTTATGCGAAAAACCCTCAATAAGCTAGGTATTGATCGAACGTATCTCAAAATAATAAAAGCTATTTATGACAAACCAACAGCCAATATCATACTGAATGAGCAAAAACTGGAAGCATTAACCTTGAAACCTGGCACTAGACAAAGATGCCCTGTCTCACCACTCCTATTCAATATAGTTCTGGAAGTTCTAGCCAGAGCAATCAGGCAAGAAAAAGAAATAAAGCGTATTCAAATAGGAAAGGAGGAAGTCAAATTGTCTCTATTTGCAGACGACATGATTGTATATCTAGAAGACCCTATCGTCTCAGCCCCAAATCTCCTTAAACT